CTGGAGCTATTAGTTGAATGCATCCAAAACAAGAACTGCTTGTAGGTGTTCTCTGTTGCCTAATTTCTTGGTGGAAAGGACAGTTCCACTGAAAGAGATGTTAAGCCAGAACTGAAGAACATAAATGTTCTGTTCAGAACAAAACAGCACCTGAGCTGGGGCCTGGCCCGTGGCCATGGTCACTAGTTACTTCTTAAGGGAACTCTCTGGGTTCAGTAAATACAACTAAATGACACGTGTAGAGGAAAGGGAACAAAGGTGACCTAGCTTTTTGTCATGATCTCTGTATGGTATCAAATTTTATGAGTAAATCTGTAATGCATGTGTCTGTATGAAACAGCTAATTCTGATTTTTTTTATTTTTTTTTCCCAAATGCAGTAGTGACTGACAATGGTGTCTACATCCTTGATTTGGCTGCAAAGATTGACGCAACTGCTGACTACATCTGCAAAGTGAAATGGGGAGACGTGGAATTCCCCCCGCCATTTGGCAGGGAAGCTTACCCAGAGGCAAGTAACAACCCGCTCTGGCCCAGATCCCTCTGTAGTGGCCCACAAGGTTAATTCCTCGTTGCTGGTACATCCAGGGCATTGAGGGTTTCCTTTCTTGTGGCTTTTGTTGCTGTGTTTCAAGTACCTTGGCATTGGCATCCGTGATAAGAGGTCATGCAAACCTGTGCTTATGTTGCTGTAGTACTAGGACTTCTCCTAACAGCACTCTGAACTGCAATTGCTTTTGTCTTTCCTTGGATGTTGTTTCAGTTCTTTTCTTTAATTCAGAATTGACTTTTTTTAAATGGAGGCTTATATTTAACTTCATTCAATTATGTGCCAAAGCTCTGTACTCGTACAGTCTTCCTTATACGGTTCTTGCCTGCATTGCTGCCCTGTCAGCATCATTTTTTTTTTATTGGAGCGCTGGTTATTGCCAGCCTCGTGGCAGCTGATGTTCCCTCGGTGTTTTGGTTACGGTTTCTGAGAGCAGAGTAGCAGTCGTGTGTGAAATCTGCGTGTGAGTGAGAGATGGCAATTATTTTCTTTGGATTCACAAAGTAAAAAGTTAAGATGTTAATGCACCTGTTTTCCTGGTCAGAGATGACCAAGAGGAGGCCTGTGGGCAACCTTTTTCTTTTAAAGTTTGAAATGCCCGTTTCCTCTTGGAATTCCCTGGGTTCATACTGCTGGTTCCATAAACACTGCTTCACACAGAGCCTCCCAGCAGCTTCCAAAACTGTTGGAAGTAGAGCGCTCTCCTTAATTGTTCTGTTACTTATTTCAGGTGACTGTTTTGCTGTTGCCAAAAAGATTTCTGTCCTGACTTTTTTTCATTTTAATAATTATAATTGTGCTTCAGTTGGGGAAGGGTTTTGTAACACGGCCAGGAAATCCATTTAGCTATTTCTCTCCATGTAGCTTGCTGGATGCCAGCACTTAACTCAATTTGCTCTTAAAAGGATTAGTTCGGTTTTTGTCTCTGAATCATCCCTCTGCAAGTCACGGTGAAGGTTATTATGGCAGTGTCTTTGCTGAGAATTTTAATGAACTCGCAGTGAAGTGCTTCACAACAGGCAAGCACACTGCGATACAGGAACACCACGTTGAGCCAAATTACAGCTCCCTCGGTGATTACATTCTTGGCTGCAGAGACCGTGTAGCCATGGGTGTATTGATTTTCCAATTTCCTCTGGTCTCAGTCCGCAGACAAAGTCAGAACAAGACCTTTCACTTCAGAGGTGTTGACTGCCGTACACGGAACCGTGAAACCTGGGAGGTTCCCAGGGCTGGCTGAGCCGTGGAGGAGGCGGCCACCGTTCATGGAAAGGCCAGTGTAGTACAGCTTGGTGAAACAGCACCAGCAGTCAGCTGCGTTTCCAAAGGTTTTTGTGTGCAAACAGGAAAATTCTGCTTCTGGGTCTGCACTTTACAAATGAAGGAATATCAGATTTATTTATAGCAATCACTTGTGACTTCACCTGGGACAAGCAAGAGGCGAGCCAGCAGGCCTTAGAAAGACAACGTGTTCTTTGGAGGCTATGATTTTTCTTTTTTTCCCCAAGCAAGAATCAGAATTTGAACGTACGCTCAGGTTGATCCCCTTTGAATTTGTTACCAAGGGAATGGCACAAGCTGTCTGTATCCAGTCCAATCTCAGTGTTCTGTCTTGGAGAACACCTAACACAAATCGGTCCTGGCCCCTGAGAGATGAAGCTGGGTCTTCATCCCTTACAAAAATGGTGTTTCTAGTCCCTGAGGGGGACTGCTGTCCCCTCAGTTGTAGTTGAGAGGAGATGTGGGAGCTCTGCATGTCCAAACAGGCCCAGGAAATGGACCCTCTGGTTTGGAGGAGGACACAAAGGAAGTTTAAATTGCGTGCTGCTCTGTTTGCAGGAAGCCTACATTGCTGACCTGGATGCAAAGAGTGGAGCCAGCTTGAAACTTACTATTCTCAACCCCAGAGGCAGGATCTGGACCATGGTGGCTGGTGGTGGTGCCTCTGTGGTTTACAGGTAACAGGAACAAGGTTTCCAGAGACGGGGGTGGATTTACAGTGCTGGGAGAAAAGAATATCTTTCCTACACCACGTCTGCTTGGGACCTCCAGAATGAAGATGCTGTGCAGATTTCTTACCAAGATGTGGAACGTAGTGTCCTTTAGAGATGACAGTTTAATTCTGTAAGGTTGAGATATGGTTTCTTTTTGACTTGGAAAGAAACAAGCTGGCTGAAAGCTGTTTATGGTAATATCATTGCTGTGGTAGTCACCGAGTTCCCATCATATCTAGGAAGTATAACAAGATTAATTGTGACTGGCACCAAGAGGAGAGCAGCTTTGTTTTCAGCAGACAGCATGATCTCTCTGTTACAAGTCCCACTTTCCCAGGAATTTGGAATGTGTTATGAAGACCTTTATAGTGACTCAAATTATAATTAATCTCTCTTTTTTTTTTTTTTTTCAGTGACACCATTTGTGACCTGGGAGGTGTGAATGAACTGGCTAACTATGGGGAATACTCGGGAGCCCCAAGTGAACAACAGACCTATGACTATGCTAAGACTATTCTTTCCCTCATGACACGAGAGAAGCACCCTGAAGGTAAGAGAGTTGCTGCAATTACAAAGCTGCTCAGCTATGAAGCTGCGGGGCGGGGGGGGCGGAACTGAACAAATCTGGGCTGTTACTGTGCTTAGACCTCCCTGGCAGAGCTTTTAATGTACTGCTGCCTTCTGAGTGAAATAGCGATGGATTTCTGTCAGCTCTTGCTTCAGAGACAGGAGCAAATGTGCCCTGAGATATTCTTATCAGAAAAATTCTTGCTTGATACAAAGCTCTTCTCTTCCAAGCTCTGCTAAACACAACTTACCGCAAACTACTGGCTAGTCCGAACTCCAGCATTGTTTCAGTTTATGTCCTAATGTGCTTCATGATCCTACAGCACACTGTGTTCTTGAAACAGTTTTATTTATATGTGTTTCTTCCCTCAGGTAAAATCCTGATCATTGGAGGCAGCATTGCTAACTTCACCAATGTAGCAGCCACTTTTAAAGTAAGTGACTATTCAGAAGTACTAGCAAATGCCCACAGTCATCAAGCCCGAGCCATTCTCCCCAGTTGGGTGTTGTGCTGAGGCTGACAGCACATCTCTTTCTGGAGTTCCTGGGAGGAAGGGACTGGGTGAACATTGGGCTGCCCAGTTCACCTGGCTTGTACATTTCTTTTAGGGCATCGTGAGGGCAATTAAGGATTACCAGGGCCCTCTGAAGGAGCATGAGGTGAGGATCTTTGTACGAAGAGGAGGCCCGAACTACCAGGAAGGATTACGTGTCATGGGAGAAGTTGGTAAGGACCAACCATTTCCTTAAGTTTTGTTCTTGCATCTTGTTTCTTCCCCCTGCTTTCTGCGGAGCCTTTTCGAGGTTAAATGCTTCACTTCGGCAGAAGCTCGTCCTGTTCCCTTTTCCCCCCAAGGCTAACTGTTCTTGCATGCATGCACAGGGAAGACCACTGGGATCCCCATCCATGTCTTTGGCACGGAGACTCACATGACTGCGATTGTGGGCATGGCGCTCGGCCATCGACCCATCCCCAACCAACCGCCTGCTGCAGCCCACACCGCTAACTTCCTCCTCAACGCCAGCGGCAGCCCCTCGGTGAGTTCCTTCCCCTCCCTGAAAGGCAACGCTTGTGAGGAGCCTCCTCAAGGCAGCTTCCCTGTCTGAACAGGTCACAAACGGGTCTTGGCCACCACTATCAGCACAAAGGCCCAGGAAGCTGAAGCGGCTCTGCCTGTAGGGCTTATCAGAAAGGGCCCTCCCAACATGCACCTTGCTCATGCAGAAAATGTGACCCCCTCAAAACCATCAGTGAGACTCTTGCATCTACTGGGATCTTGGGCATTTAGGAGTTTTCCCTCACTTGACTGAAATGGTCCTATCTCAAAATTGACTCTCTCTGGTTTTCTTTGTAGACTAGCATAGCCAAAGTGGCCATCTTTTCCTACATGCTCCAGGCCTTGTCCGGCACACCATCCCTTACTGACTTGGCTTCTGAATCTTTCAGACTCCAGCACCAAGCAGAACGGCTTCCTTCTCAGAGTCCAAACCTGATGATATTGCTCCAGCCAAGAAGGCAAAGCCGACAACACCTCTTGGTAAGTCCAGTGTTGGAAGTGGTCGCTAGCAGTTCTCTTCTGCTCCAAAAGGCAGAATGTGGACTAAACTAATGCTTTTTCTGGATGTAAAGGGAAGCAATTTTGTGGTACCTGTCTATCTTTGTTTTGAATTTATTTAAGTGCTTTGAGAATATTGTCACTTGTGCTATTAGCTCATACGCAAGGTGAGTCAGAGTTGCTTTGATCTGGGATGTTCCTCTGAAGGGAACAGCATGGTTTAGCTCCAGCTTTCCCACATCCCCTTACACAAGGCCAGCGGACAACAGGTTAGAGTGTCTGTGCTGTGGTTGCTGAACTGATACCTGCTCTCCAGTTAATTCCCTGGGGGATGTTCCCATGGGATGCTGCTGGAATGATGTAGGTATTCAGAAAGTCCTTGGTACATACTGCAGCTTCCTGGATGAGCGCTCTACAGTCAGTTCAGTAGGAGTTGTGATGTACTCCTCACACGTTTAGGGTTGGAGGGTCCTGTGTGGTGTGTGGTTTTTGTCCTGTTTTCCTACAAACGGAAGTTTGTAGGAGGCTTCTTTAGCATGGTAATATGCAAGAGCTTTGGCAGGTTTTTGCTTGTGTTTGTTGGAAGCCTTATTGAGTAAAAGCATGTTGTATGGGGGGGGGGAAACGACAGTAGAATTGGGCAGGTACAGAATGTGATAATGTCGAGGTCCTCCTCCCTTCAATGTGAGGAGACACTGGCCTTGTTTACAACAGTATGGCATGGTGATGGCAAGATTTGGGTCCAATTCCAGTGAAATGCATCACAAAATCCACTACTGCTCTTAATCATTGTGCGCAGAATTTTGCACGAGCAATGGCTCAAAAATACAGTGAAAATGTTTGAGCTGTGGAGCTTGCAGCACAAGGAACTGCCACCTGAACCTGAAATGTGTTTGTGCTGGGACAAGCAAAAAGTTGATAGATGCCAAAATGCAAAATTTGATGTCCAGATATGTGGAGAGTGTTCCAGTCTGCTTGTGTTTTACCAAAAGCAAAACCCAAAAGACCTGAGTGCTGTGGGGAGGAGGGATGCTGCAGCACCCCATGGCAGGTGCCCTGCTGTTGGCATGACAGCAGCCAACTCTGGCATATAGCTGCATGAGTGGTTCTCTCTTTAACAGATTCAATCCCAGCTTCAAGACCTGGTTCAGGTAGGACATGTGTGACAAGCTTAATGTGCCTGGCCTTGCTGGCAGCTGATTTTTAGTTCTTGGTTTTGTTGCTGTTTTTTCTCTCCAAAAGTTTGCAGTGTTGTCTGGTCCTTCCCTTCCCTCCTGCCCAGCATATTTGGCTATCACCATATGAACTTTTCATCTGTTTTTTCAAGTGTAGATCACATACTCTCTTGCACAAAAACTTATTATTTCTGGGGGAGAGAGGGACAGGTCTCAAACAAACTTTAGTTTTTCTTCCCTTATCCCCTACAATCATTATGGAGAAAAGCAGACCTAGGTGTATTGCGAAAAGCTCTGTTCTCTTTGCTTTCAAAAAGGAGGAATCACTAACCATGCCTAATAACTAACATTTTGTTTCAAAGGGAAACAAAATAGTGCAGGTGCCTTGCTTATTTATGAGCCTTGAAGGGCACAGAAAAGTCACTGAATGAACTAAATGTTCTTGTTGCCTTATCAGTTCAGCAAACCATTAAAGCTTGTGCTCAGTGAAGTTATGGGGATGCGAAGCACTCTCTTGAGCTCTGTGCTGGATGAGAATAAACTGCTGAATTGGGGTCAAGGCAGAGTTTCAAGCCGTCTCCACTTTCGTAAGAGGAGGGACAGCAGAAGGGGGGCTCTCATTCTTCCTCGTGTGGTCTCGGACAGATGTTGTCACCTTCCTGGGCCTGCATCTTCCTATTTCTGTGAATACTAGTATTACCTCCTTGCAGGCACCTGCAAGATAAACGGAATTTTTCAGGGTAGGCAGTTTCCTAATAACAAGTCATGTGGCCATGCATCTAAACTGTGAACATGTAGGAGAACAGGGACTGATTTCTTGTTAAAGCCTGCACAACAGTATCCTGTTTAATCCCTAATGCTGTTTACCTCTGATTCAAAGCCAAAAAGAAATTAGCTGTAGACTGAATTGGGATCAGCGGTTGGATCAGCTCTTGAGTTCTTAAGAGTTTTAAAAGGAACTCTGCCTGGAGTCAAAGGGAGGAGCTCAATATTTGGCTGTGACAAGTGGTGTAAGTGTACTTTAAGCAAACAGTCCATCCTCACTAGCTGAACAGTTGCCTTTCCTGTGATTCTGTCCCCAAAGCCAAGTTTTGGGCCACGTCTAAGTTCTTGGAGCCATCAGGTTTGTGTTGGATTCTGATCATCAAAAAAAACCTGAAAACAAAAGCTAAGTATGTAGAGCTCCTTTGCTTTCTTTGTCCGCTCAGTTTCCCGCTTTTCTTTTTATTTCCTATCGTTCTACTGTGGTGCCCTGACAAACACAGGAGGCAAACTTCCTGTGGTTCTCTCAGATTGTGCAAATAAATAAAATTTAGAATTCTCTTCCTCTTCAGCTTTGCAGAATAAAACTATCTGGGAGGAACATGAATGGCCCATATGAGAAGAGGAAGAGGCAGTTTTCACTTCTTATCTCTCCTCTCCTACACCAGCTCCGCCCTGTGATTAAGCACTTGCCCATTTTGTGGAACACAAAACTTGGCTATTGTGTTCCGAATCCTGGGAAGGGGGATGCTGCCTCATCTGCAGTTTCTTCCTTAGTGTGGACAATGTGGCTACGACATCCTGCAGCTCACCTGCTGGGTTCAGTTTGGAGGGAGGGCAGTTTGCTTGTCTAGGAGACTTTCAGCAGATGTTTGGCAAAGTTGCAGGTTTTGTCTTGCACAGATGTATGTTTTGAGCGCGTTTTGGGTTTTCCCCCTCTCTCTCTAAGCAGGTAAAGCTACCACCCTGTTCAGCCGTCACACCAAAGCTATCATTTGGGGGATGCAGACACGGGCTGTGCAAGGAATGCTGGACTTTGATTATATTTGCTCCCGGGATGAACCTTCAGTTGCTGCCATGGTTTATCCGTTCACGTAAGTAGCCTGTGTTGACCGCATTATTTTTCTGACTGCTTCCCTCAATTTTTTCTGTTAGCTTCCTCATCTTCTAGTCCCTGCTGTTCTTTAGTGTAGCTCTGCCCTAGTCTACATCTCTGCTTTAACACCTTCTCCTATGCTCCCTTTCACCATCAGGTTGGCTTTGCAGACTGCTTCCTCTTTCCTTCAACCATTAATTTCAGGCTGCTCTGTTGAAACAGCTTAACGTTAGCCACATAATTTAAGTCCCACCTCATGCTCTTTCAAAGGGTGTCCAAATTCTGTTCATTCGCTCGGCAAGGAAGGAAGGTATGACTAGTTGGGCTTTCTTTAACAGCTCACTGGCTTCACAGAGGCAGTAAGGCTATTGTAAGGTTTCTTCCACTCATCTGCTGTTTGCTGCATGCTTGTCTGAGACATCTTGATTTGTGCCTGCAGCAGCTGGAATTTTCCCCTCTGAATATTAGCCAGAATGGGAGCAGCTCTGCTAATAGAGTAAAGCAGTCTGTCTGCCATGTAGCCAAACAAAATTTAAGAAAAAAAATAATCTTGTTCATACTCTTTCCTATAGCTAGTAGTTTCTAAGCAGGCAGGAAGTGTGCAGATCCTTCCGTGGGAATAGAGTTCTCTTGTGGTATTCACCCTCTTTTACCTTATCCCCACAGCTAACGGGGATGAGAGAGGCTTTTGGGTGTTTCAGGTCGCCCTCAGGAGGAACCTCCAGAGCATGAGCTGTTTTGTTACTGTACTTCATGAGCGTGGGGAGGGGGTCTCCCTGTCAAACAGGGCAAGTAGCGAGAAGGAAAGGAGTGGCTGTCTGGCCTGCTGCTGAGACAGTGAGATGGGAGCACGTACAAAGGTAGGAGGTTTGTTTCATTTCTGTGGTATTTACAGACATCCAGGATAGCTGATGTCTAATCAGCCTCTGTCCTGCAGAGAATTTTTCCTCTTGGCAGTTAAGTACCTTGTGCTGTTAGTCTGCAGCTCTGATGATAATTGCAGCTCTGTAGTATCTTCTCAGCAAGTGCAAACCTCAGGGTACTAAAACTGAGTGCAGGCATAGTCACATCTATAGATGAGTGGGAACCCGTTGCAGTTGTTTAATGAAGAAAAAGCAATAGGGATTAAAAGTTTAAGGCTACCTATAATTATCTGATTCTGCGTGACCTTTTGGAGGAAGCCAGGCTGGCAAAACCTGGAATGTTCCATTACAAATGTACCGGTGTGGGGACACAGCTGCTATCTCTAGACTCTTAACGACTGAACAGATTAGATGTCAATGAAGTTCCAGTCAGAGCATCTACCATGTATAAAAGACAGCACCTGCAGTGACACTTTCCTAGGCACGTCTCCTTCAGTGTGCGTGGGGCAGGGTGGGTAGAGCCTCACTGTAGCAGAATTGGAAAGTTGATTGGCCTTGTTCCCTGCAGATAACTGGTTTCCTGTTCCCCCAGTCTGGTATTTGTTCCAGCCCAGTAATGCAGCTTTGCATGCATCTCATTCATTACTCTTTCTGTGCCTCATTCTGTCTTCCAGCTTGGAGTAGAATTGAGGCTCTGGTAACTTCACTGTGGGAGAGCTTATTCATCTTGCTGGATGCCTCTGTCCCCATTAGCCCGTCTCCTTCCATATGCTGCTCTGTTCTATACTCTGAAGAACCTTCCGCTGTTAGTATGGTCCCTCCCCATGTACACTCACTTCCTAGTGAGTCTCACAGTCAGTCTTGGTGTCTGAGAATTGGGGTTTGTAAACTCCTCTGTCTGCATGCACTGTATCCCTTTGTGTTTCCGGTAGCCTTAAAAGTCAGGGCTCTTTCATCTTCTGCTCCATAGTGGTGACCACAGGCAGAAGTTCTATTGGGGCCACAAAGAAATCCTGATCCCAGTCTACAAGAACATGTCAGATGCCATGAGGAAGCACCCAGAGGTGGATGTTCTCATCAACTTTGCATCTCTGCGCTCTGCTTATGACAGCACTATTGAAACCATGAATTATCCACAGGTGAGCGAGGGATCGAGAAGCAGCCCAGGAAAAGAAGGAAGATCTTGTCAGTAGGGTATCAGTTTTCTTAAACCGTGATGGCATTAGCAAATTGGCTTGGTCTTCCACCTTGGCAGATAAATACCTCAATTCTAACTCTGTAGGCCCTAATAGGATACTGGAGTTGCATAGCAAATTCTAATGCCGGACTTGCAATTTACGTAAGAAGAACTTGGCACATCTTTGTTAGGAGTGATTACTTTGGGTTGGTTAAAGTACAGTGCTGCTTTAATGTGCAAGGGGGAGGAAAAAACCTGCTCCAAGCAGTGCGTTGAGACTGTTGTGAAAATCACAGCAGACCACGGATCCATGCAGTGGGCCTTCCTGCGTGTGAGTGCACAGCGTGACCTCCTGAGGGCCTGGCAAGGGGCCGAAGCTGGTCGTGCCGTCGAGCAGCTGCTTACCTTCCCTGTCCTGCCGAGCCGCAACGCTGGGGGTACTAATGGTTTGCTTTACTTTCATGCAGATCCGCACCATTGCCATTATTGCCGAGGGCATTCCGGAGGCCCTGACACGCAAACTGATCAAGACAGCTGATAAAAAAGGAGTCACTATCATCGGGCCTGCAACTGTAAGAACTGGTGACCTTTTTCTCCTCTTGTCCATCTGTCTTAATCTTCAGATCGGCTTTCTCTGAAGCATAAAGTATATCCTACAGTCCATCTTGTCTTTAGTCATATAAAGCGTGTGTTAGTTTCTCATTTTAAGGTCATGTTACTGTCTTCTGTTACTTGTATAAATACTGATGAGACTGTCTTACAGAAACATTCCTAAAGTTCATGTATATTTTACAGGGCTTTACATCTTTCTCCAATTTTCCTGTAGGTTGGTGGGATCAAACCAGGTTGCTTTAAAATAGGCAACACCGGAGGCATGCTGGATAATATCTTAGCATCAAAACTCTACCGTCCTGGCAGTGTGGCTTATGTTTCACGGTCCGGAGGAATGTCTAATGAGCTCAACAACATCATTTCCCGAACCACCGACGGGGTCTACGAAGGAGTGGCCATTGGAGGAGACAGGTAGGACTCTGCATCTTCAACAAAGACACCATTTTCTTAAGTCAGTCAACAGAAGAATTGTTAGTAATTTGGAGGAAGAAGGGCAGGTTGGCTCTTAATTTTTCTCCTTTCAGAAAAGTTGATGAAACAAATTCAACTTCCACCATTTTCCCTGTATTCTACCCAGATACCCTGGTTCAACTTTCATGGATCATGTCTTGCGTTATGAGGATACTCCAGGAGTGAAAATGATTGTAGTGCTTGGAGAGGTGAGTGAGACCAGCTCACACCCATCTGAGAAATACCCAACTGTTTTGTTTTGGGAGCTCTGACCTGGCTGCAAGGATGCCAAATAATAGCTGCAGCTAAGTGACAGCTCTTCATACTGGTCTTGAATGTCTGAATTTTTATTTCATGCTTCTTTCATCAAAAGAAATTGAGTATTGCAGCCCTGAGGAGAAGGACTTGGGGGTATTGCTTGATGGGCAGCTCAACATGAGCTGGCAGTGAGCACTTGCAGTCTAGAAAGCCAACCGTGTCCTGGGCTGCATCCCCAGCAGCGTGACCAGCAGGTCGAGGGAGGGGATCCTGCCCCTCTACTCTGCTCTGGTGAGACCCCGCCAGCAGTACTGCGTCCAGCGCTGGGGGCCCCAGTACAGGAGAGACATGGAGCTGTTGGAGAGAGTCCAGAGGAGGCCATGAACATGATCCGCGGGCTGGAGCACCTCTGCTATGAGGACAGGCTGAGAGAGTTGGGCTTGTTCAGCCTGGAGAAAAGGCGGCTCTGGGGAGATCTAATTGCGGCCTTCCAGTACCTGAAGGGGCCTCCAGGAAAGATGGTGAGGGACTGTTTATCAGGGAGTGCAGTGACAGGACAAGGGGGAATGGGTTCAAGCTGAAGGAGGGTTGATTTAGATTAGATGTTAGAAAGAAATTCTTTACTGTTGGAGTGGTGAGGCACTGGCACAGGTTGCCCAGAGAGGTTGTGGAGGCCCCATCCCTGGAAATGTTCAAGGCCAGGTTGGATGGGGCTTTGGGCAATGTGGTCTAGTGGAGGGTGTCCCTGCCTGCAGCAGGGGGGTTGAAACTAGATGATCTTTAAGGTCCCTTCCAACCCAAACCATTCTATGAGTGTATTCCACAGACAAGCATAGTCTCCCCTACTTTAAAAACAAAAACAAAAAACAAACAAATAAGGAGGCTTTGTTGTGAGACTTCAGCTGTTATTCAGTGAAAAAGGAGGAAAAAAAAATCCAAGTAATGCTTCCGTGCGTGTCTTGGCGCTGGTTTCTACAAAAGTGCAAAGTTTTCAACCAGCTCAGCACTCTCTCTTTCTGCAGATTGGAGGCACAGAAGAGTATAAGATCTGCAGAGGTATTAAAGAAGGTCGTATCACCAAGCCAGTAGTGTGCTGGTGTATTGGTACTTGTGCCACCATGTTCTCTTCAGAGGTACGTGCAAAAATGGGGGCAAATGCATGAACTAAATATATATCCACAACAGGAAGACATAAGTCAACTTCTCTCACTGTGCCTAAACTTTCCAGCATTGCTGGTAGCAACTTAACATCCAGAAGTTAATAAATATAAATGGAAAAAGCTTTTTGTGCTTCTATAGTCTGCCACTGGACATTTCCAGGGGATTCTGCATACTTGTCAAGGGAGCCCAAAGATCCCAGGGAATGCAGCAGATTCCAATAGCCACTTGCTTCTGGAGTGCGAGTGGGAACGATGGAGAGTGGGGGAATTTAGGGAGGCAGGAATTCAGTGGAAGAACCTGGAGTGATTCCAGATCAGACAATGCCCTGCATGTTGCAGTGGTGACTTGAGTTGCAACCCAGAGTTCTGTTAGCCCAAATAAGAAGGCAGATGGGCAGTCACTGGTATTCCTGTCACCGGTTTTCTAGTCAGGTCTTTATTCTGTTTTACTCTCCGCAGGTAAACAACTTGCGTTCCTTACCGCTGTATCTTCCCTTGTTTGTGTAGGTGCAGTTTGGCCACGCAGGAGCTTGTGCCAACCAGGCTTCTGAAACTGCTGTTGCAAAGAATCAAGCCTTGAAGGAAGCTGGTGTGTTTGTTCCCCGGAGTTTTGATGAGCTGGGAGAGGTCATTCAGTAAGTCACACTAAGGCACCGTCAGCAGGGGACAAACTGTTAAGGCACTGATTCCACCTTGATAAAGAATATATTCCTGCATAAAGAAAGCAACTTCTATTTATTCTTGGGTTTTAAGGTCTAGATTAAGACCACCTCACTTGTATCTCTTATAAAGGACTTAAGTTAATAAATGGATTCTCTCTGTAGGTCTGTCTACCAGGACCTTGTGGCCAAAAGAGTGATTGAACCAGCCGAGGAAGTGCCTCCTCCAACTGTGCCAATGGATTACTCCTGGGCAAGGGTGAGCTCTGCTGTTTTACCTGCTTTTTGGTTCCTTAGAAACCAGACAGGATGTTTGCTGTGATTCTGGATGCTTATGGTGATGATGGCGTTGCCTTGGGGTTTTATTGCACGCTTTATAATGTTATCTGTGAGCTCCCTGGCTATGCTGGGTCTAGGCTGTGGAAGTTGCTCTGAGGGCAAGCTTAAGGCATTGTTTGACCGCTCTGCCTCCTACTGCCGCTTGCGTCTAATGTGGAATGTTTAAAATCCCATCTTTATGCTGCGATTTCAGGAGCTGGGTCTGATCCGCAAACCGGCTTCCTTTATGACAAGCATCTGTGATGAGAGAGGTCAGGAACTGATTTATGCTGGGATGCCAATCACTGAGGTCTTCAAAGAAGAGATGGGAATTGGAGGAGTTCTGGGCCTGCTCTGGTTTCAAAAGAGGTGAGGCAGCGTTTTGTGAAAGCTCCCAAGTTCTTTGGCCGGAAGTTTTGCTTGTTTATTAATAGACTTCTAAGCACAAAATAACTCCAGAATTCCTTTGTGAATGTAGATGCATTGGAAATGCCATCTCTATACCCCCTCCTCTGAGACCACTTCAGCACTTCAAGGCTTCATACAGTATGTTTTAGTCTTGGGGTGAAGTTTTCCACAAGTTTTGTGGTGCATTGAGGAGATTTCTCTGTTCTAGGCCTGTTTCACACTCTGACTACTTGCTTATTATCATTGTCACCTCGACACTAGAGATACTGGGGAGTTGACAAAAATTTGCTAACCAGCCTACAGGGAACCTCCTGCATGGCAGAAGTTTGCTGCATTGGACATGCCATCTCTATACCCCATCCTCTGAGACCACTTCAGCACTTCATACAGTATGTTTTAGTCTTGGGGTGAAGTTTTCCACAAGTTTTGTGGTGCATTGAGGAGATTTCTCTGTTCTAGGCCTGTTTCACACTCTGACTACTTGCTTATTATCATTGTCACCTCGACACTAGAGATACTGGGGAGTTGACAAAAATTTGCTAACCAGCCTACAGGGAACCTCCTGCATGGCAGAAGTTTGCTGCCTTCATCTGATGATGTTTTCATTAGGGACACTCTTGGTACTAGCCGGAATCTCTGGCTCAGCAGAAGAGGATGAACAGAACTGCAGCACAGCCCCATGGCTCCCCTCAAGGCGACCCACAGAACTTACTGATCAGTCAGCTGAGTGTGTGCAAGCTCAGCCTACAAAACTGACCCTCAGCTCTGAGCTAAACAGCTCCTGTGGAAAGTGAATTAAAATCTGATCTCTGAGAAAGATATTAGGGTGCACCGATGGGTATTGTGACCCTACAGCTCCCTTTCTCTGTTCTACTTTCAGGCATACACCTAAAACAAAAGTCACTGTCCAGTAAAACACCAAATGTCTTGTTACTCAGTTTTAATTACAATAAATGACTTCGGTCTCTTCCTTGCTCAGGTTACCAAAGTATGCCTGCCACTTCCTTGAGATGTGTTTGATGGTAACAGCAGATCATGGTCCTGCTGTGTCTGGAGCCCACAACACCATTGTCTGTGCAAGAGCTGGAAAAGATCTTGTCTCGAGTCTCACTTCAGGCCTTCTCACTATCGTAAGTACTTAATCTCCAGAAGATTTAGCTGTGCTACTCATTGCCCTGTCCAGGTTTTATTACTATTAATTCGAGATTTAGATTGGATGCAGAGCTGTGGACAGGTTGTGTCTGTTCACTCACACTTTGAATTCCTGTTGAATTCAACTCTAATAACTTGATGTTCTAGGTTTAAAGCCTAGTCCATTTTTCTAGTAAGCAAGACTATTTTGATGTCTCTCGTTTGAGTCTAGAAATACTTTTGTAGAGGTCAAATCGTTGTCAGCGTTGTCCCTATATGGTTGCCTAGTCTCTTCCAACACTGACAAGTAAAAACGTGGATAAAACAGACTTTAGATTGCATTTCCCCCCACACTTTATCTCTAGTGGAGATGCATTGGCTACATATTGACATTTGTGTTGAGTTATGAACAGATGCTTTATCTCAGGTGCCTGCTGACTTTAACTTCATGAATGCCACATTGATAGGAAAGGCGGATGGGGAAGATAATCCTGTGCTTGTTTTGTACCTTAATTGTGGAGTCCTTTGCTAGAATTTCCTTTGTGTATTGCACCCAGGGTGACCGGTTTGGTGGAGCACTGGATGCTGCAGCTAAAATGTTCAGCAAAGCCTTTGACAGTGGGATTATCCCTATGGAGTTTGTGAATAAGATGAAGAAAGAAGGGAAGCTGATCATGGGCATCGGACACAGAGTCAAATCAGTAAGAAAACTCCATTAGTACAAACTGGAGGTTGGTTTGGGTTTTTTTAGAGAGCTGGGGGAGAGAAAAAAAAAAACCAAAGAAAATTTAGCAACTTTCAGAGGGAGCTGTTGACCAAATTCTCAGGACCTAGAAATCCTAAACCCACAAACAGTAAAGCTTATGGCAAGTACCTGTGTAAGAGGCAACATCAGTGACTGTAATGTGTTCTTAACTTGCAGATAAATAACCCAGACATGAGAGTTCAGATCCTCAAAGACTACGTGAAGCAGCATTTCCCTGCCACCCCACTGCTGGACTATGCACTTGAAGTAGAAAAAATTACAACTTCCAAGGTGAAATGCGCTAGTGTTTATCTCCTCTTGAGCACTTTTTCTTACTGGGGGACAAGTGACATGCAGTTAATACTGTATTTTAATTGCAATGCTTCATAAATTGTTGCTGGGTTTGGGTTTTTTCCTATGGTAGACTTTGGGCCAAGTACAACTACACTTTGGTAAGGCTGAAGACATTTGTTGGAGACTGGGGACAATGCTGGAAAAAAAACCCAAAACCCATTATCTGTGGTACCCACAGTATACCTGGAACTGCTGTACTCTTTAAATCTGAGGCAGAGCTAGCACACGTGAGAATCTCTATGGTTTGAACCAAATGCAGGCCCGTTCTCTGGGGCTGGTTTTCCATCACTCACATTAAGTGTGGCTCTTGCTGAGGTTGCTGAACAGCCTCCTCTATCGCTAGGCTTGTGTGCCCACAATTATGGGCAACCCTCAAATTACCCTTGAGGATGGCAGCTGCCAGGGGAACATCATTTGCCCACGTTAACATCTTTATCGGGGTGTGTTTTCATTTCCTGCAGAAACCAAATCTTATCCTGAATGTAGATGGCTTTATTGGAGTTGCCTTTGTTGACGTACTCAGGAATTGTGGCTCTTTCACACGGTAAGTAGGTAGCACGCCGTTCCTCTTAGCTCACAGTCCTATAAATGTGATGGGAGCCATACTGCCAGCTCATGTGGGGCCAGGATTTCAAAAGGACATTGTGAAGGAAATGCAGCCTGGACTTGGGGGAAGGAAGAAGCTTTCACATGAACTTGGCATTGCTACTGGCACTAGAGCAGACTCACCCTTTCTAAGATCGAGTCCTTAAATAGTTCCTGATAATTATCTATTTAATTTATTTTCTCTTGCAGGGAAGAAGCAGATGAATATATTGATATAGGAGCTCTTAATGGCATCTTTGTCCTAGGCAGGAGTATGGGATTCATTGGTAAGTTTGCAGTCTTTCTGCCCCTTCCCTTCTACTAGGGACTGCCCTGCCACCATGGGCACGAGACAAATGTCAACCTCTGGGGACTCAGTCTAAAACACTAGTTGTAGGAATACAGAAATCAAAGTTCTTTCAAGGCAAAGTAAGACTAGAATGAGGAACAGACATTTTGTAACACAAACCACTTTCATTTTAGGACACTACCTGGATCAGAAGAGGTTGAAGCAAGGTCTGTACCGTCACCCGTGGGATGACATATCCTATGTTCTACCGGAGCACATGACTATGTGAGAACCTGTAGTATCACCTCAGAATGTCACTTCAAGAAGGCAGAAGCCTGCACAGAGGACAGCCACAAATGGGACTTTGATGTATAAAGGCCATTGGTACACAGACCTTGAGCTGCCTGGTCAAACTGTGCAAAGCAACTGTTTTACAAGAATAGAAACTTACTCTAATAAAAACCAAAACTTGTGATATTCCATATGTTACCTGCTGTATTTAATACTGTCTCTCACCCTTTTATTTTTTCTACTCTTGTTTCATTTTGTTTCCGGAAAAGATTTTAAGGGTTTTGGGAGGGGAGTTTTGCTCATAGGTGCAGTCTTACTGAAGTTGTGGAAGATCCATTAGTCGGGTAACAAGCTGCAACCTTTCCTGATAGAGGGAAGGTCCCCATCATCCCCCTAAGCCATGACTTGGGCTTTTTTTGTTATTGGTTGTTTTTTCAGTTCGTTTACTGTGTTCTCATCTTCAGTCTGATTGTATCCTGAATAGTGGGACCACTGCTGATGTATAACCAATGTTACTCAAACTCTGGTGTAGTAATTTAAAGTGTAAAGTTGTAACATACTGCTGTTTAAAACTGTGAAACTATATGTATTCCAGTGTCTGTATTTATGCAAAGAATTTCTCATTTACTATTAGATTGCTGGTATATGGAATGTCACTCATGTTATCTGCAGATGCAAAAATAATCTCAGTAATAACTTCAGCGTCCTACTTGTCTGTGTATTGTAACCTAACTCAAATAAATGATACACTACTAATTTATTCTTTTTTCTGCTTCTGGCTTCTAAAAGTATCTAATGGAATGCGTGACAAGCTGGGCAACAGTTGTTTAACAAAATACCAAACCTCAGAGCAGTTATTCCTCTCATGGTGTGTGTTCTGGTTGATGTAAGAGAAGGGGAAAAAAAGAAGAAAAAACAAAAACAACCCTGTCCTGGTTTCAGCTGAGAGGATTGATTTTCTTCATAGTAGCTAGTGTAGGGATACGTTTTGGATTTGTGCTGGAGACAGCACTGATAATATAGAGATGTTTTTGTTCTATGGACTTATTGTTGAGCAGTGTTTACACGGGGCCAAGGCCTTTTCTGCTTCTTGCACTGCCCTGCCAGCGGGGTGGCTGGGGGTGGACAAGAAGTTGGGAGGAGACACAGACAGGACAGGTGACCCCGTACTGACTTAATGCACCCTGAAACATGACAGGTTGAGATAGAATATAACAAATTAGAAAAGAAAAAGGAGGGAAGTAATTATAATTGATATTGCATTATAGAAGAGTTAGGGAAGTGTATCATGTTGTAAACATTGAAATAATCAACTGCAGCTCCTTCTAGTTAACAAAAAAAAAAAAAAAGTGTGCCTTAGGTGGAGTTGAGTGCATTCCTCATGTAAAGTCCCTTCCCTGGAGGCTTGCCTGAGCATGCTGTTAATGAGAAAAAGAATCCAAAGGCTAGCTGAAGGCCCTGAATAAAGCTATGTAGTCGTTTCTGTGTGGTACCTGTTCCCTTTGGCACAGGGGCCCGGTTCCCTTGTGAGGTGACGAAAAAAAAGCGGCCGTTGTACTACGCGGGCTGAGGCACCGGTGGCCTCGCCAGCCGGCCCGGCTGTCGCCCGCAGCACCAGGGCGGGCCTAAAGCGGAGAAGCATGCGGGGGCAGGTCGGGCTTCAAGCCCTGCGCGGGGCAGGCCCAGCAGTTCCCTCCGGACGGGTCTTTCGAGGTCGCCGGGGAGGCGAAGGGAGCGGGAACCGCC